TAATTATCTAATTAAAACTGTCTCTTTTTTAAGGTTTTTATCAAGGCATTTCTAACATCTTTGTTCCTCAGGCTATAGATTAACGGGTTTATCATGGGCACCACAATGCTGTAAAAGACAGAAGATATCTTTCCTTCATCCACAGATCCAACTGAAGAAGGTTTGAGATACGAAAATGTACCTGATCCAAAGAACAGAGAAACAGCGATCAAGTGGGAACTGCAGGTGCTGAAGGCTTTAGCCTTGCCCTCAGTGGAGCTTATTTGGAGGATGCTGGAGAGGATGAAACCGTAAGATGTAAAGATGATGACACTGGGAACAATGATGTTTTTCCCTCCTACAATGAACATCTCCATCTCATTGGCATAGGTACTAGTGCAGGAGAGCTGCAGCAATGGAAGGAGATCACAGAAATAGTGGTTGATGGTGTTCTTACCACAGAAAACCACTCTCAGCAAGCATCCAGTGTGGATCATGGCATCAGAAATTCCCATGAAATATGAACAAAGTATAAGATAGGAACACACCTTAGGAGACATGGCAATGTTATACAAGAGTGGATTGCAGATAGCCACGTAGCGATCATATGCCATTGATGTCAGCACATAAGATTCAGAAATGATAAATAAACAGAAGAAGTAGAACTGGGTCATACATCCCACATAGGAGATAAAGTTCTTCCTTAGTATGAAGTTCATCAGCATCTTAGGTGTAACCACAGATGAATAACAGAGGTCTATGCAGGACAAGTTAAAGAGGAAAAAGTACATGGGGGTGTGCAGGTGAGAGTTCAGCACAATTAGAATAATCAAAGTCAAATTCCCCAATACAGTTATCATATACATCACCAGAAAGAGTAAGAAGAGGGGTATTTGCAGTTCTGGTTGGTCCGTTAACCCCACCAGGATGAATTCCTTTACCAAGGAGGCATTTTCCAGAGTCATTCTTCTATAAGAGAAACCATGGGGCAGGGGAGCAAGAGAAAATGGTATAATTAGATGACATATTTGAACATACCACCCTCGGTACTTCCACATATATGATGTGCAATCCTGGAGGTTATGATCAAGCGAAATCAGAGAACCATCCTTTTGTGCTACTATTTGACGAAAGGCATCATCCTTGTTCTAATAGAGTATAACGGGCTAGGTAAATATTAAAAGAAACACTGGCAGTCTATATCTGACTGTAGGGGAGTCATGTCCTAAGACGACTGTCAGAAAAACCAAAGGACAGGGGAAAGGAACACTGGGCCAAGATTGAATTATCCTTTCTTATAATATCACTTTTTCTTGTCCAGCTTTCTCTTAAACACGGAGGGGCTCTAACAATGTTAGAGTCATCTTCAAGGATATGGAGGTTTTGGGCTCCACTTTTTGTAACTTTGGAAACATTAGAAAGCTAAGCATTAGCTTTACCACTACTTAGTACTTATATCTCCGTATGAAAATGAGGAGGGGTAGAGATTTCTAAGACATGTTGAGGGTCATCAACAAAGACGTTTCTTCCTGGTCAAAAGAAGAGAATAGGTTCCACCATTGGCTCTGGATAGATAGACAACAGAAACATTTTCACCTTCTTTTAAGCTTTAATACAGCTGGGCTTTCCAGTCACCTAGGCAGAAGCCAACCACTTTCAGCCAGGAAATCTGATTTACATGAAGACAAGTTTGAAAGAGGGAATAACCATCCCCTTAAAAATACCTATGCTTTTCCCTCTCAGAACTCTGCCTTTCAGTGCAGAAGCTTGAAGTCACGCATGGAGCTGTAGCCATACAATTATGTCTCTTAATTTTTCATAATTACCCCGAAAATCATAACTTTTTTGCATTTTGTCTCCTTCCCCAAAACCTTGGTATGCTTTCCTTGATACTTTGACTTTCTCACTCTTTTCTTCTGAATGTCCAGACACCTCTTCTGTCATGAGGCTGCTTGCTTTCCATGTGGCTGACTGGTGAGCATGCCGATCCCTAACTGAAAGGCATGGCTGCCTCTCTTCCTCTTCTCCATCTTCTTAGTCGGGGCAGCTGAGACTTACAGTTTACCTACTTTGGTCTTTTTTTCTAAATCTCTAATAAAGCTGTTCTGGGGCTTCTTTTGAAGTCTGTTTCTTAATTCTTTAATTAATGAGACTACAAACATCAACAAAAACAACAGCAATAACAGAATCCTGGAAGCAAACATTGTTTCATTAATGAGATTAAGACAAAAGAGAAGCAAAGAATCCAAAAGGAATCTCAATTTCCCTGGTGGCACCGACATGTAACTTTACCCTGATATGTCTAATCCCAAGCAAAAGAACCTGGCTCTAATAATGGTTAATGTTGTGAACCCTGTGAAAACTCTTGTAGTGCAAAAGAGATTGACAAGTGTGAACTGATTCACCACTTAGATCAGGAAAACAATGGTTTATTGTCTATACTGGAAAAAGGTAGCTGACTGGTGCGTTGGGCAAGAGCTAGAATGCTGTCTGTAGCTTAGGTAAAGATTTGCAGGGACCTGCGTTTAGGAGAAGTATTTTGATGGGTTGTCTGAAGAATTTGTGTGTGTGCACGTGCGCACACTACTGTATATGTGCTCCCACCATTTCAATGCTAATTAGGTCAGGATAAATTGGACAGTGCACAGTGTGGGGAGATTACTGTGAGCCACCATAGTAATCTGAGTGTGTAAGTTGGAGTCATTTAAATAGAATCATTGATGTCAAGGCCTCATGTGCTGTGGCCTGTGCTGCAGTTCTCCAGTATGACCATTTTAAAACTGTTTGCTATTCCTAAGTCATGCTTTTGAAAATTCCTTTGCTGACTACCTGCAATGACTTTCTCTCCTGTTAGATACTATCTTCTTCCCACCGAAACTTATAAATCTAGAAGTAGTATTTACCCATGGATATAGGACTGATTGACAAACTAACTGCCACTCCTGTATTTACTCACTCTCTGAACATCTGCCTGGTTTTCAAGAATGGAAAGGAAAAGGCAGATCTTAGATCCCTGGACTTCAGTCTAAAATGAAGCAGTTCTGAGACCATAGTAAATAGAAAATTAAATGGGAAAACTGCAGACCTCCAAAACTTGCAATCTACAAAAGTCATGTGCACACAACAGAGAATAGTGTACTGAGTGACTGAGGAGGTAGGAGAGAAAGTCAGATGATGTTGATCAAAGAGTAAACTGTTTCAAATATTACAGTATAACTAGAAAAAGGAAAGTCCAAAATTGTGTTTAAAAAATACACGTTTCCTTTATTCTTCTAAAAGAATTCATTCAGTTGGGAGAGATGAGAGGCTCAGGCGATATGATTTTTCACATGTCAACCTGGATTAAACAATTCTCTGCTGTTTATTTTAGTTTCTTAATAATATATCACAAAACTATCTTCTGCTACATATATCAATGTTAAAATCTCAGAAAAGCAAGTCTGTGTGCAGTGAAGGCATATGGGAATTAGCTTCTTTTCTGAGAATGTCACATAAACAAATTGGTTAAAACAAATTTCATACCTCATACTATCATTTCAGATTTTACAGATATCTCAGCAAATGCAATAAATAAAAATTAAGACATTAGTATAGATTTTAGCTTACCCTCTTTTGACCAGAAAATTTTCTTGGTTACATGTAAGTTTTCTTTACTTTGATGTCCTGAAGGGCAATATTGGGCTATACATGTTGGGTTTCTTTGATTCTAAAATGATACAGCATTGCAAAAATTTCTCATATTCCTTGAAAATATTGAATTGTGCTCATAATTCATAAGGATAGTCCTTAATCATTTGAAGCAAAAGAGGAAAATTAAGTATTTTTAATTATATTGGCCACAGGGTGACACACCAAAATGTTTTATGTATTTTACTAGTGTATTCTACCATAGGCTATAAACAAGGTAGGAGATTTTCAGACTCTCCCCAGGGTACAAACACCCAATATAACAAGGAAATGTGGTGACTGTATTTACATACTACACTATTGAGTGTCCCCTGCTCCTTAGAGTCTCATTTTTCAGCTCAGATATGACTTTGTCTTTAGGGATTGTGCATCTTCCCTATGTGAATCAATAAAAACTCCCACCTGCTACTTTCCTGCATCTCTTAAGGGAAATCTGGTGATCTGGTGATTCTGTTATTTTCTGTTTGTGTCTACATCTTCAGTGGTAATGATCCACAGGGTCTCCTTTATAATTTATTTCTTTATCTAATGTGGTTAAACATTAAAGTATTATCTCTTCTCTGATTTCTCTAAAATGCTTTATCAAAATTATTTTTCATGTGATTTCAATGATAGCAAATCCAGAAAGTCACCTATGATAGGCAAATTAATGAACAGTTCTATGATACTAGTCTTATTTAGCACAACTAAGACCCTGAATTTGTTCTTCAGCAATAAAGAAATGTCTGCCTCTAGATAAGAAGCACAAAGTTGTGTTCGTCTCTTTAAAACCAAGATGGAATAATGACTTTAAGTCATTAAAAAATTAATTC